AATATTCATGAAATGTCTCTAGAAACAGTCACTGCTTTCGATAATATCAAAGGTTGTCTTTGGTGTCATTCATTCTAACAGGTTAGAGGTGAGCTCGAACATCCTGAACAGCCTCCCTGGGATTAGGCCACTTCTTTGGACTGTGCGTTTCACTGTAAAGTCTGATCTCACAGGCAAGTGGAAACTCACAGACCAAGAGGATGGAAGAGGCCAGCCCTCCCGCCTGGCCTCACAGGCGCTGCCATCAGCTGTCAGATGCGGTGGGGTCGGGGTGAAACCCACTTCAAAGGCCAGGCTGGCTCCTGGAGTCCTCCGGCTCAGCCCTGACCGCCCCCAGCAGGAGCCGCGTGCCCCAGGCTCCTAACCGGTTAAGTGACTCCCGAGATCTTGAGCAGGCAGGAGGGTGGCGGAGGGAAGACAGGAGAGAGCTGTGCTGGCCACGGCTGGGCTTCGGGTTTATTTATCGTGCTCGCTGTCGGGAGGCCGCCCCGCAGCCGGCGCGGGCTGCGAACACACAGGCTGATTCATTAGTTCTGACCATCTGCTTCCCGGGTGGGGGCGGGGTGGGGCCAGCGGCCCGCAGGTTAGGGAGCGAGGCGGGCAGCCGGGTCGGAGCCCCTGTGCCCTGGCAGAACTGTCCGTGTCAGTCTTCTTGGTGACAGGCAGGCTGGCGAGGCGGGGGTCTGCGAGGGATCCCATGTCCCCCAGTGGGGACCACCGGGAGGCTGAGCCGGGTGAGGGAAGGTAGGGCAGGGGGACAAAGAAAGACCAGGGGAAAAAGATGAGGTGGGGTGACTCACAGCAGTTGGAGGTTGACAGGAAGGATATCAACACTCAATATGCGATATAGTACTATCTACTTATTAATAATTAATATGACAATCATAACTATAATTTAGCGAGTAGTTACTGAGGTCCAGGCTGTATATGGAGCCCTCACTAAGCTGCCCCAGATACGCACTCTAACAACCTCATGATGGGTGACGAGGGAACTGGCTATAAAGATTGAGTCAAGCAAGGAGGGCTTCCTGGAGGAGGCCTCTGAGCTCCGGGAGGAGGGAGAGTCGCTGTGGGAACACAGGCTCAGAGGTGACGGGGGACAGTGCCGCCAGGCAGAAGGCACAGCCTTCAGTGCTGTGTCGACGAGAGCTTTCCGGGTGGACAAGGGAACGGCGGCACCTGGGGACCGCGTGCCGAGACACTGGGCCGGCGGAGGAGGCCCCGGAGAGAACTCCTGGGAAATTACCAAACTCGCAATTCAGTCGCGCCCCCCGAGCCATGCCTCCTACTCTGACCCCCTTTGCCAACCTGGGATAAGGCGTGTTTTAGCTTGCTAGGGCCTGGGCGGCTTCAACAACAGATTTATTTTCTCAGGTTCTGGAGGCTTCAAGTCCAAGGTCAAGGTTGGTTTGACTCTCAAAGACCCAGACAGGGTTGGTTTCCTCTGAGGTCTCTCTTCTTGGCTTGCAGACGCTGAGGGAGCCCCCTCTTTCGCCTTTCCGTGTGGTCCTTCCTCTGTGCATACGCAGCCTGGTGTCTCGGTGTCCAAGTCTCCCCTTCTTACAAGGATGCCAGTCAGACTGGGCCCACCCTAAGGACCTCCTTTTAGCTTAATCCCTGACTTAAAGGCCCCCATCTCCAAGTACAGCCACACCTCGAGGTGCCGGGGCTGGGGCTTCAACAAGTGGATTTGGAGGGGACACATTTTAGCCCCTAGCAAGGTGCCAGGGGCAGTAGAAGACGGTGACTTGGGGCTGAGGAAAGAAGACAGTTGCTGGCGGAGGGGAGAGGAGGGGAGGACGCTGACTTGGTTGCAAACTGTCCTCCTGCCCCCAGTGTCCAGCATGAACTCTGGAAGCTGCTCACCGCTCTCCGCCCTCAGTGACACAGCAGAGCCCACCCTGCCTCTGGGCTCAAAGTGCCCGTCCGCCGTGAGCTGGCCAAGTGGCTGGGGAGGGGACTGTACTCCACAGGCAGGCCTGTCCCCTCCCCGAGCCCCAGCTGGAAGCCTTGTCCCTGCAGGCCATGGAGCCATCCCTATGGGGCCTCTCAGCCCCATCCCCCCCATTCAGGGTCCCCCGGCTGGAGCATGAGGAAGCTCAGACCTCCAGGGGCTAAAGCGGGCCCCTCTTCTTGCCGTATTGCATGTGAGGTCACCAGCATTTCGGGACACCCCTGAGGTCCAGGACAGGAGCAGGTGCATCCTTAGAAAACAGCCCACTCGCAAGGAGGCCTGGGCCAGCCCCACCCTGCCCTGGGCCTCAGTTTCCCCATGTGCTCAATGAGGGGGTGGACTCAGTAGTGAACCCCGAGGTCTGTGGGTCCCGTGAGTCACAGGGCTGGCGAGGTGGGGTAGACAGTGGCGACACCGGGGCCAAGGACAGAGCTATTTTGATCAAGGATGGCTCTGTGGAACCTGCCTCAGTAAGCACAGGGCCAGCCTGCCCACCGAGGAGCCCTGGGTGGCCTGGGAACCTGCCTTCCTTTAGAAGGATCAAAGGTGATGTCCCGAGGCAGCTGCAGCGGCTCAGCCCCTCTGGAGGCGATGTGCCCCCCACGGCCCCCCCAGAGCTGAACGGCTCATTTTAGAGTGAGCAGCTTTAACTCAGATCCAAGCCGTTTGTCACCGAGCAAACAGGAGACCTGAAATATTCATCAAAAAAGCCGCAAGTGGTCTGGGCGCTGCAAGGGCCTTAGTGACAGGGTTTATTTTTTAATTACTAGACTTTAACTTTTAGAGCAGTTTTCGGTGCACAAAATTGAGCAGACAGTATAGAGAGCTCCTCATGTGCTGTGGCCCCCACAGGCCTCCCCTCTCATTAGCATCTGGCGTTAGCTGGTATGTTTGTTACAGTTGATGAACCTACACTGATACGTTATTATGAACTGAAGTCCGCCATTCGCAGCAGGCTTCACTCTTGGCGTCGCAGCTCTTTGGGTTTGGACAAATGCCTGATGTCGTGTATCCACCACGACAGGTCACACAGAATCGCCCCACTGCCCTCAAACTCCCCTGTGCTCCACCTGCTCAGCCCACCGACCTTGGGCAGCCGCTGTGCTAGTGGCATTTCCAGGCTCTGGTGAGTTCACACCGTGGACAGACACAGGGATGGATTTGAACTGCCATGGAGGGGAGCCCCCGCTGCTCCCCGCCTCCCAGAGGTGGGAGGGAGGACAGTAAGCGAGTGGGGGCCATGCCCTGCATTGCTCACCAGCCCCCCCCCC